GGTTTATAAGCAACGGTGGATAGTGACTAGCAGTGGAATGGAAGTTGAGCGATTCGTCCTATTTGAGACTTGTCAGCTGGATGCACCTGCATCTCAGAGTGAACATGAACTCTGAGATGCAGGTGCATCCAACTGACAAGTTCTAAATAGGACAAATTGCGTGACCTACAATTTGCTGCTATTGACTATCCATCTTTGCTTATATTCACAAATAGTTAATCGTTTTTCAAATTATTTTGCCAACATGTATATAAACAGATTTTGTGATGAATACTCGTTACAGGTTTTCATGAGATAGACTTATTTTTAAAGTATAAGTAGACATATATTTCATGATTAGACAGTGGGAATGAGGAACGTAGCTGGATATATGAAAATCCATAGAGGGTAAATGGTCTTTTTTTTCAACTTCTCATAAATGATATGGATTGGCATTGATTATAATCTAAAATCAATCTTGTTTCCGAGAAAAGTATTTCCCTTCCCCTTTACCGAACGTCAACAAAAGACACATTCGTAGATAATGGTCTGTTCACACTATTTGTTATCAGATATTTTGAGAAATTGACCTTCATTGTGATGTCGATTTCCATGAATGATCTTTCATTCTTCACACATATTTCATGCAGAAATCATCAGCCTCTGAATGATCATCTTAGATTATAAAGTGATGGGAAGTTGCGCCCCTGTACATTATAAACTGCTTAACAAATTATTCATTCTTTTGGCATCGGTTGCCAACACATCTTTCTGGAAATTAAATTGCCTTGACTGTCTAAAATGGACACATTAAAATTGGTGATAAATCCAAGAAAGTATTGATTTCACCAATCCGATGGTACTTATTCCTATAGGAGTTTAAAACACCATTTCAGACGTATAGGAGAGGGGTGAGCACTAACAATAGAAGGTACAGATCGCCTTAAAAATCATTTTTACCCTTAGAAATATGTAAAATGATATTAAGAAAGAAAACTAAACAAAATAACATTTCGGTTAATGTTCATAGACTCATACTATACAAATTCATTACGTCATAGTGTACATCATTAATTGATATTCATGAATGTTAATTCTCATTGTTAAGAAGACAATCAGAACAATTTAAAAGGGAGAACAGTTAATCAATCCAATTCCCTGACCAAAGGTATTTGAGGTACTTTTGTATAAATATATCACTAGTTCGACAATACTTATCTTGTTTAATAGTCTCTCAAGCTTGTATCCAACATAACACGTGACTCTGAGATAGCATACAACACTTATCTTTTTTTTGTTGTTAAGGATAGTAAATCCACAATTACAATGTATAAGAAAGATGTTCATCTTATAATTCATAAACTGTTTTGAGGTAGTTTATATTCATTGATGTTTAGTACAAATTAATTCAATGTGAACTTTGTTAGTTTGATTTTGAATATGTTTTCGTTATACTATGGTGTGTGCTACTTATATCAACATAAGTAGTAAATAATGGTAATCAGGAATAGAATGTCTGGTAGCAGAAGGTTAAGAAGATCGAGGAAGGAAGAATGGGAACAGAAAGTAATTAGTATGGAAATGCAGGAACAATGAAGTGTGAGACGACTGACTGATGTTTGTAAAACGAATAGTCGAATATGAGACAACTGAAGTATTCACTGTATGGTTCTGAAATTTCACTAGTGTTCGTTTACATTCGGTTATCCCCGCTTGTGTTCTCGTTCATTACAATACTACTTAATGTACTGAAGTTTTTTCGTTGAAGCGACAGTTTTTCTTTAATTCATGATCAGTATTTGTTTTTACTAAATGAATATTATTTACCAAGATTCATCTTTTAATGTAACTAAATTTAAACAAACTACAAGTTGTAATAACCTAGTGTACAAATGTAATTGAATGTTATTTTTTATTTATTTGAACACATGAACACTGGTACAAGGAGGCACCTAATATATATGTGCCACATAAATCATTCGATTTGTGTAAGAGATGGGATGTTGACTGGGTGCCCAAACTGAAGCAGGTGGTTTTCTCAAAAGGCCACACTCCAAGCCTTCGACCTGAAAGTCTGAACCACAAGGCAGTGGAGCAACGTTAGGATATGTAGTCCCATGGTAGCAGGTAACCAACCATTGGTTCATACACCATTTATTCACTCGGGATCCTGGGGCCCATGTGCACCACTGGTTTGAAATCAGGGTTTTCCGACTCTCCTAGGTGGATCCTCCATATCTATCAATCCGGTTAAAGCGACGAAAATTCGCTTTCCATCTTCTCAATTTCGTAAACAACAGTAATGTCCCGAGAGAGCAGCGAGTAAAACTTCTCTGTTAGTGGTTGTATACTCGTGGTCATATGAGAGCATTATTCGAGGGAGAGCTGATTTTCCTCACTCATCAGGGCATTTGAGAGCCCTGGTTATTGTTGTTATTGTAAACAGACTGTTATATCCCGACGAGAATACTGAATGGTTAATGCTGAGGTTCATTTATGGACTAATATTATACATATATTCTTATTGTATAACTGTTAAGTAACTAAACTATGCATATTATTATACAATTTACCATTCTTGAGTTATGCTCAGTCTATTAATTACAGTCTCCCACATTCACAGCCACTTTTGGCTAGATCTTGTACAAATATTATTTTCTATTATATGGTATGATGTGGTTCATTTGGTTGGTATATAAAACCTAGGATGTTTGAAATATGATAATTCATATCGCAGAGGCTTAGATCGATGTTCTGAAATCTAACAGGCAGAGCTAGGTAGGAAGTAGAACCGATGAGGACACTAGATTGCTCGTACGGGTTTTATGCGTCATAACATTTTCAATAGTCAGTAATTGCGTTGTATCCAATATTTCCAACTATCTAACAGTTGCTTTGATGAGTGATTACTGAATACTGGAGATCTAGCTGATCGACCACTTTAGCTAATCAATCAGTTTTTAATGAATTAGTTACTGAGATAGGTCCCAGGTTCAAATCTCCCGAGGCAGGATTGTGTATGGGCACTACTGAAGAATCATATATTGGGCAATCCAATGCTTCGAAATTTTCCATGGTGATCTAGTTTCAATTGACTCATGATCTCAACTATAAAATTACTATAATATCCACAAAACTCCTTCTGGTATTAAATGAGTTACTTGACGATAAGCACTAAAGTAACTTTTGAAGATCTTAGAGTTTACACATAAATTATTTTTCTGATTTATAGCAGGATGGAGATGAAAAGTGTGGTAATAGACATTTTACAGTGTTTGAATCCCAAAAACTATATAGGTATTTGATTAAAGAAGAATTCATCCTTCATAGTGAAACTACAGAGGAACAAATGCTCTCTGCTTGTCATAACCAAAAAGAAATGACTCCAAATGTGAATACAGTGTATAATAAGGTAATCGTCCATGGTTTACATATCTCAACTAGAGAATTGCTGTCAAACAAATAATAAAACTGTACAGCTTACCATTTATTAACATGGGCCCTTAAAAATCTAAATATAGTTTTCTAATGTGATGTATTTTTAAAACGTCAAGATAGTCCGAAATGCATTTTGTATTGTTTACTTGAATCTTCACATTGATGTATAAGACTACAATTGATCAGTCTCTTATTATCAGAACTGCATCCCGTGCGGATTGCTCGATATTGTCACTAGGTCGTAAGCATTATTTGTAGAGATGGATGGTGGCTAGCAGTGAAATCCAGAACGCAAATGTCGTCCTATTTGGGACTTGTCAGCTGAATGTACCTGTATCTCATAGTTGATATTCACTCCTGGAATCAATCACAGGACCTTCAGTCAAGTGTGAGAACAATCAACCTCTAGATCACTGAGCCGGCATCCGATGGTTTTAATATCTAACTTTGATCTTTCATTCATTGTCTGAGGTAGGTAACTGTCTCATATCCGACACAGATTGGACTCCGCTGGTTTCAGCTTTTCATTAGAACTGTAAGAAATTCCATCTTGAAGACAGTCACCAGTAAGCACATGATGGTTGCACAAGATCATGGCTAATTGAAGTTAGACATTAACATCATAGGATGCTAACTCAATGGTCTATAGGTTAAGCGTCTGTGCGCGAAACCAAAGGTCTCTGATATGAGTCATTTTTTTTACACTTCTGAGGAGCCCTGTATCGAGACAAAACGTCTATTCAATGCTTTCACATTTTCACTAATATTCTATCTTAAATCGACTTATGAATTCAACTCATAAAACATTCTATCAAATATCATCGCTAAATTTTTTTATTCAGAATAAATAATATGAAATTAATGAAATACTTTGTAGAATGTTTCAGAAAATAATCATGATTGACATTAATAAAAGCATCTTAACTGTTGTGAATGAAATAGAAATTGGTAATTTACTATTATACATTGATCACTGTGTAACTTTTCTTTAAAAGTCCTTATAGCTCAATGAAAGTTGTTCATATGTATGTACTTGTGTGTGTGTGTATGTTTGAGTTAGATTTAACAATGAATATAATGGTTGATTGTTAAACATCTCACGGTGTCATGCATATTCAACATATCTAATTCTATTATTATCACTATTATTATTATTACTATGGGAATTCATTGAGAATCTCTATGATTTATTCTGTCAATCATTGAATATAGAAATATCTGTGAGAGAGAGAGAGAGAGAAAAACGTTATAGAATATTATCATAGTGATTAATTCCTCTTTCATATTAGTTACCTTTTGATAAACACTTTTTTTCTTTCTAATGAATAACTGTCGATTAAATGATCATAGCGGATACATAATTGTCTATACTTCTCTATATATTATAAATGATTTAATTCATGAGAATATAAACTAATGAAAAAGTGGAAGAGAGTTTAAAGCTTAAGATTGTAATTGATCAATCTCTTAGTGACATATGTGTATCGTATACGGATTGCCCTGATATTGTCATCAAAGATGAATGGTGGCTAGCATTGGAATTCAGGATGCATGTTTCGTCCTATTTAGAACTCGTCGGTTATATGTACCTGAATCTCAGAGTTGACATTCACTTAGCTACTACTACTACTACTACTACTACTACTACTACTACTACTACTACTACTACTACTACTACTACTACTACTACTACTACTACTACTACTACTACTACTACTACTACTACTACTACTACTACTACTACTACTACTACTACTACTACTACTACTACTACTACTACTGAGTCCTGATAGCCACTTGCTTGTTTAATGGGGTGAAGTTTAAATTCGCTTGGTATTGTTTACCCGAATCTTCCCATTGATGTTTGGCACTGCAATTAATCAGTCTTTTATTGATATATTTTAAGCAGAAATGAATGGTGGCTACAAATGGAATCTAGGATGCACTAAGTGGATAGTGTGATGACGCTTGAAGCGGGCAGTACTGGAGTCGAGTCGCGAGGAAAATATCAAGTCTAGGATGCAGATACATTCAGCTGACCAATGCTAACTGAAACGAAACGCTCATCCTTGATTTCACTGCTAGACGCCATTTATCTTTGCTCAGTTATAGAGATGTGTTGTAAACAGTTTTCAAGTAGCTCTTTCAACAAGATTGATTTTAACTGATGCACCACTAAAAACTGCAGAACACTGTGCAAGTTATCCAACCCAATGAGTATAAAGAGAGATAGATAGGGTATTTGATAAACATGTTAAATGGATAGTTCAATACTTTATGTATGAAGAAGGTTAAGACAATCCCTATGATCATTTGATTTCCACATACACTAAACACATTTTATCAATGAGGGCTTAGTAACAAACCTACAGAAATACTACTCGTCTACTATTATTCGGTAACTAGAGTTTTTTTGCTAAATTTGAAATAGTCAGAAACTTATATGAGTGGATTTAAATAAATTGCTCAAACAATAATATGTTTTTAATAGTTGAATTCATGAGTCAACCTAAGCTTGACCACCATTGAAAACCTGAAAGCATTGGACGGACGTTTCGTCCTAAAATAGAACTCCCCAACAATGTACACTCACGACCCCGCACCAAAGGGACTCGAATACAGAACCCTCGCTCTCACACGTCGACGCTCAACCTCCAGAACACTGAGCTGGCATCCAATGGTGTCAATGTCTAAATTCGATTGATCCATGATCTTGCACAATCACTCATTGATTGTCTAAAGTGGATAACTGTTTCATATCCGATACAGATTAGACTTCAGTGGTCACGGCTTCTCACTAGAACTGTAGGAAACCCATCTTGGAGCCAGTCACTAGTGAGAACAAACCTTCATTTTATTAATAATATACTTAACACCGTATTTCATGCATTTCTATTCAATACCATGATAACAATGACACGGACTGTTGATTAGCTATACAGAAGCATAAATTAACTACCCAGTACTTCTTAAAGTTCAATAGTTACTTGTTATATATGAACTAACAACCATATACATGTACTCTGCTGAATTATCTTTAATTCTTGATCAGTCTTACTATGAGTCTCTTTAGGTAAATTCGTATTTACATACACAATCATCGACGTTATAATTGTCACTCTCTAAATAAGATGACTCGTCATTAAGTAGTTTTTCACCAAAGTTTTACAATTAGAGAGTCATTCGGCTAAATTTTATTACATTTAAGTAACTCTAGATTTGTGTTTATTAGTTCAGATCTAAATCAGTGAATAACTCAAATTATGCTGGAACAAAGATGACAATTCATGCAAATAAAGTCAAACAGAGAGGGGTTTTACGAACAGTACAGTAACTTTAATAGTTGAATTCACGAGTCAACTAAAAATAGACCATCATGGAAAACCTAGGAGCATTGGATGTCCGTTTCGTCGTGGTATGGGACTCCTCAGAAGTGCGCATCCACGGCCCCGCCCACAGGATTCGAAACCAGGATCTATCGGTCTCGCAAGCAAACGCTTAACCTGTAGACCACTGGGCTGGCCAGCATCCAGTGGTGTTAATGTCTAACTTCAACTAATCCACGAAATTGAGCGACACATCCACCATTGTCTTCAGTGAGTTACTATCTGACAACAGACCCGGTTGAACTCCACTGGTCACTGCTTCTATTAGAACTTCAAGAAATACTTCATGGAGACTGTCACTAGTGACCATATGATGATTATAATCACAGAAGCCAGTACAATTTACACATTTATTGACCTCAAAATGAGTATTGAGATAAAAGTGTATTTGTAATCTTACTGAACTCTGTCTTACATAATGTGACTGAACAATATGTTATTAAAATATGCACAGAATCATTAACCGCTATGATAATCATTGATTCAAACTTCTGTGTTGTCCATTATGAAGACTTACTTAAGTTTCTTCTTCCTTCTGTATCATGAGTTTCTGATATAAACACAACATATTAGTGTTTGTATTAATGAAACAATTTTGATCTCATTCAATTTTTATGAATCCTTACAATGTTTCAATCATGAAACAATGTCCACTGAAAAGGTAACTTCAGATAAGTACTATCATTTTCATACAATTCCAAATCTATCAGTTTTATATTTGAATTATTAAACAACTGTTTAAGGTGTAGTTTAAAATTATAAAGAAAAGTGTTTTCTTTTTCGTCTTTTAATCATATTATGGTGTATGCTACTGATGTCGGCAGATATAAGTAGTATGTATCGTCAATCGAAAATGAAATGGCTGGCGGTAGAAGATTAAAAAGATCAAAGAAAAGAGAACGAGAACAGAGAATGATTGATGTGGAAATGAAGGAACAATCAAATCTAAGACGACTGATTTACGTTTTGCAAATGAAGTATCTACTATATGGTTCTTAGATTTTCCTAAGACATTCTATAATTCTTGTGTTCAAATACATTTGATTGTCCCCATTTGTATGTTCTCATTTACTACATTCATTACATAGATACTATTTAGGATTGAGGATCTTCAAATAGTCTTATATTCTAAAGAATGTTTTTAAATAACAGAAAATGATGTTAAAATACATTCTATAGTTGAATTCATAAGTTTGATTGAAGCTAGAACACCATGGAAAACCTGGAAGCATTGGACGGCCGTTTCATTCTAGTCTGAGACTCCTCAAGACGAAATGACCGTCCAATACTTCCAGATTTTCCATGGTGTTCTAGTTTCAATGAAACTCATGAATTCAACTATAAAAATTACTAAAATCTCCACAAAATACCCCCCCTCTTCTGATAAAATACATTCTGTTTAAAACAATCTAAAATTTATTTTGTAACCATTAAGAAATATATATATATATACCAACAGTTGAATAAGTCAAGTACCTTCAATTAAAGAATTACAAATACTTGTAACAGATGAAGATAATGATAATGATGTAGGAAGATGTAAACATTCATTATTGATTGATTGATTTAAAGATGATTTGATTGACCATAATTGTTGTAGATCAAATGTTTGATTGGATATTGATTGATTTTTAGATAAATTAATTAATTTCTTTCTCATTTCTAATTGTTCCGAATTAATCGATTTTGTATGTAATGAAATATTGTTATCTGATGAAGGGATACATAATAATGATGATTTGATATTAATATTATTGTCATTATGTAATGAGTTTGTTGTAATTGGTAATGTATTTATAATCCTAGAACTTTGAAGATGTTGTCTATAATGATGATGATGATGATGATTATCGATATCTAAACTTGTTGTTGTCAACTCATTTGTCTCTGTTTTTGTTGTTACTAATGGCGGTGGTGGTGGTGGTGGATCTTGGAAAAATGGTAAATTCTTTTCATGATTATTTAATGATATTCCAACTGTTATTGGTTTTGTTGTTGTTAATGTAGCCATAGTTGATGTAGTTGTTGTAACCGTTGATGATAATGATGATGATGATGATGATTTATGAATAAGATCTATATTTGATAAAATATATCTAACTGTTGGATGATATGCCCAAAATGGACTTTGTTCTATTAAACGTTGAATTGCTACAAAATTTTCAGCTTCTGTCATTAATTCAAGACCAACAGCTGTTTGACGTTTCCATTTTGTTCTAAATTATAATATTAATGATAGTATGAAGGTAAAAAAACAAAACAGATTGAAATTCTGTATATTAGAATAGAAAAGTAAATACGGCGAGACTCTAATTTATGGACAAGCCAGTCAGAGGCGTTTTAGAGATTTCAAGGTTACGGCGCCAACTTAAATGCTTAATGCCAACGTACGATCGGTTCATAAGGAATTTCGCACAAAACGTGATAATTGAGCGACTATAACAAATAAAACAGCGGGACTATAATTTGTGGACGAATCAATCAGATATAAGATAGCAGATCTCGGATTTTAACGCGAAAGCCTTTCATCCATTTGGCTAAATAAATTTCTGGCATTATAGCTGATGTCAGTTCGTGATGAAAACCCAATATATAATTCCTAACTAAGGCAAATTACGACAATTATTGCGAACTGGACAATAAAAGCACCAGTAACACTGGCTGCAGCCAAGTACTACAATATATACGGATGTTTGGAGAGCATACAGACTCCTAGATAGGCTTGGTTATGTGCACCGTGTCGTTATTCACAAGTATCATTTTGTGTACTCATCAGCCGGTGTGCACATAAACAATATTGGAACTATGTAGTCGAGGCTGAAAGAGTTTTTGAGAATTATCATGGCTCCATAGGTCGACTATTCTGTAGCCGTATGGATGACCTCCTCTACTGCAAGCATTACGGTTTTAGAACCTCTGAACCTCTTTCTGACCTTGACAAGTTTTTGAACCACGTATAAGAAGTGTATCTACTTTATTTCCTTGGTTTTGTATAACACATTTTTACTCCATACTGACTGTTTGCTGATTGGTTAATATTTCTCAAGGTCGCTTAAGATTCGTTCGAAGGTCGTCCATAAATTAGAGTAAATACAATTTGAATATGACCAACTTCAAGTCAAGAACATTTACGTTACTGACGTTGTGATTTGACTTGTTGTTTATAACTAAGATAAACCTTCATTATAATATATAAATGACATAATCAATGAAATTGTGACATGTCTAGAAAATGTAGTATGAGAAATGAATGTGCCTAACCTTCCCTATCCTTTTAAATACCACCTTCTATAAATGCCATGGAATATTATTTGAATAGACTAAGTCTATGGATTCAGAATATGCATGTAATATGTGGCCATGTGGGAGCATTTCGAGAAGAATAACATACTTTCCACTCTCAGTTGTATCAGGGCATTTGAGGGCTTCTTATGAGTTATAGTGAATATACCGATATCGAACGTAAAACTACCTCAAGTATGCATTACATGTATATTCAGAATGCACAGATAGAGACCCGTACCTTTCATAGTATACACATACGAATAGATGCGATCACCCCAGGCCAAGAATGATTGTATACCAAACGTAGTGCCATAGCTCCATATAAAATTTCTAAACTATGTTATCAAGCCCCAAAGTGAACATCAATTCTAAAATACAGGTAAATCCAGCTAATGATTCGCAACTAGGACGAAACACGCATCCTGGATTCCATTACTAACCACTATTCATATTAGATTACAATCTATTTTTTCGGTCTGCTAAGCTTGAAGATACAAGGATTTATAAATAGCTGTCTTCGCAAGATACTCAACCTCAATTGGCCGGATACCATCCGCAACAGTCTTCTGTGAGAGAGAACAAACCAGCTTCCAGCTGAGGAGGAAATTAGGAAAAACGATGGAAATGGATAGGACATACATTACGGAAATCACCGTACTGCATCACGAGGCAAGCCCTAGCATGGAATCCTGAAGGGAAGCAGAAAAGAATAAGGCCATAGAACACATTACGTCGGGAAATAGAAGCAGATATGAAAAGGATGAATAAGAACTGGAAAGGGCTGGAAAGGATTCCCAAGGACAGTGTTGGATGGAGAGTGCTGGTGAGCGGCCTATTCTCCTCCACGAGGGATAACAGGCGTAAGTAAGTGGTGTGAATAGACAAACAAGAAGTCTTAACAAAGTACGGAAGCTATTTTTGGGGATGTTATTTCATTTAATTTAAAGCTTGTAAAACAGTAGCATTTATTTTTGTCCCTAGTCTATTCTACAGATCATAAGCTTTCGTTTGATGTATGATTTACTGCTATAGCCCTTTTGTTCCAAAGCTATAGTAATGTAAACATAATAATTTGTACTCTATTTTCTACTCTAATTCCTAGTTTTAAACATAATTGTATTTTCCTAATTATTTTATGTTGTGGACGGATTAGTCATCTATTTATTCATGTATCTTTTACATTAATCTTAAATCGGGAACCAGATCGGAATTGGGAATAAATTGAGTAGTGTTCCAGTTGACTTGTCTTCTCTCACTCGCCAATCAGGTGATAGAATAGTTTTCGTTTCTGTAACCCACTTGGGACTCATTCATACTAGTCTCAAGGTTAAGCCGGTCAGCCTATCGCGTCAAGATCGTAATCTAAATTAGACACAATATCCTCGGCACAAAAGTGCGTAGACAGATCAAAGACGTTACAGTAAGTAGGTAAGCTTGTTCTTCACTATCTGGCGAATTATTCAGTATCGCTTGAAGACACATTTTCTTTGACAGTAACTGGTACAAACTAGTTGACAAAAACTATAGAAACAGGCTCAAAACTAAAACTTATTGTTTAAAGGATGATAACTAGTTTTATAAATTCACAATTTACACAACTGTGAATATTCTTTTCCGAATCTTCTATGATTCATGAATTATTTACTTTACTTATAGATATGTGATCATATGAACTTGTTCATAAAGGGAAAAACTATAAATAATAATAGTAATATTAGTAATAACAATAGTATTAATAGTAATAATAGTATAATGTTTATTAACAGTTGTCTACGCAAAATAATTCCGATCCGTTGGCCAGACACTCTCAGCAACAACCTACTGTTGGAGAGAACAAACCGGATTCCAATGGAGGAAAAAATTAAGAAGTGCTGGAAGTGGATAGGACACATATTGAAGAAGGCACCCAACTGCGTCACAAGATAAGCTCTCACATGAAATCCTCATGGCTAAATGAAAGGAGGAAAACCAAAGTACACATTACGCCGGAGAATGGAGATAAACATGAAAAAAAATGAACAAGAATTGGATGGAACTCGAAAGGAAAGTCGAGGACAGAGTGGGTTGGAGAATGCTGGTTGGCGGCCTATGCTCCATTAGGAGTAACAGGCGTAAGTAAGCAAGTAAGTAATAGTAGAAGTAATGTTACAAATCATATTAGTAATAATAATGATAATAATAATGATAACAGTAACAGTAGTGATTATAGTAATAATGGTAGCAGTAGTAGTAATAATAATAATACTAATAATAGTAATATTAGTAATAATAATAATAATAAAGTATTTACCTTCTATTCTGATACCATGTTTTAACTTGTCTATCAGATAAACTTAATTTAGTTGCTAATTCCATTCGATCTTGTACAGCTAAATATTTTTGACGATCAAAACTTTGTTCTAATTCAGTTAATTGATAATCAGTAAATGCTGTTCTTGCTTTTCTTGATTTTTTCATTAATTTTTTATTAATATTATCATGATAAAATAAAATTTCATTTTCATTCGTTTTATTAAATTTTGTTGTCAACGCTGAGGATGCTGATGATGATGACGATGATGATGTTGATGATGACGATGATGATGTTGTTGTTAAATACATTGAATTCGAATGATTAGCCTTTTCATTTTCATTATTCAATAGATCTTATATGAATAAAAAAACACAAAGAAATAGAAGGAATTTCATGAGTCATCATGGGAAACTTGGAAGTATTGAAAGGCCGTTTCGTCCTAGTTTGGAACTCCTCGGCAGTGCGAGTCCTTGAGCTCACCTCGTGAGATTCAAACTCAGGAACCTCCAAAGATTAACACCATTGGATGCTAGCTTAGTGGTCTAACTTCGACTAGTCCGTGAAGTTGTACCACCGTCCACCATTCTATTCAATGAGTTATTCTCACACAATAGACCTAGTTGAACTCCACTGGTCACAGGTTTCCATTAGAACTCCAGGAAATACCTCTTAAAACCTGTCACTAGTGAACATATGTTGATTAGTATCAGAAGAGATTCTGTGGATATGATAGTAATTTTAATAGTTGAGATCATGAGTCGATTGAAGCTAGACCATTATGGTAAACCTGGAAGCACTAGATAGTCGTTTCGATCTAGTATGAGACTCCACGGCAGTGCGCATCCACGACCACACCCCACACGATTCTAACCCAGGACCTAGCGATCTCGCGTGCGAACGCTTAACTTTTAGATCACTGATCTGGCATGTTTAACTTTAACCAAACCACGAAAACGTATTTATTAAAGTGTCAAATAAGATTTTTCAATGTGTTACATGAGTTATCAAGTTGAAATTTATAGGTGAATAAATGAAATGTGAAACTGATAAAAAATACCAAGTTAATTTAGAATTTAGTTGACTATGTCAAAATTGTGTCGAGTTTATTTTAATGAAGTTTCAAAACAGACTAAGTAGTTTGTTATACTACCTAAAGTGACTTACTTACTTAATTATGAATGTTACCGCTCGTGGAGAAGCATAGGCTGCCCATTAGCCCTCTTCATTGAACTCTATAGCTATTCTAAGATTATTGCCGGTCCACAGTCCGGGTAAAAGATGAAGGTTGGGAATAGGGTCAGCAATCCCATCCCGTAGATAATAAACTTTCTAAAAATACACTAAGGTGACTTGCTAGATTAAAATGTTAATTTTAAATGATATTTTCATGTTCGGATTCGTTTTCTTTGTACTATTCAAGCTTTGTGTTAATTTTAAACAGAGACAATGGTGGTTAGCAGTGGAAGTCAGGATGCACATTTCATCCTATTTCGAACTCGTTCATTGGATGTACCTGTTTATAATGCTTGTGACTAAAGGTAGTATCGACGCGATCCGTACAGGATCAACATATGCCTATAAGAAACTGATCAATTGCAGTCCTAAACATCAATGGAAAGATTCAAACAACCAATAAAAAAAGGAATTGTGTTAATTTTGTTTCGGTTATTGATTTACTCTAAACAAATAACTAACATTCAGTCACAAAATATCAGAAATTCAGATCATGAACCGATTGATGTTAGGCTATCATTGAAAACCTAGAATCACTAAACAACCGTGGTCAGCGGTTTAACATCGATCGGTTCATGATCACAATTAAAAACTCAACAATCACCACAATCCTATGCGGTTAGTATTGAGTATTCTAGGAATACTTTAAGATAGTGAAATATTTCATCTAACCAATAAACACCAATTAAAGTTTAACTTAAAGACTAATTACTTTGATGATTAACCATTAGACTACCACTATAATGTAAGGCAATCGATAATGTTGATCATCATCTAATATACATCCATTACATTGAAGTTTTTCAATAGTTCACACTGAATATCCATCTTCATCTATCATGTTTATGTATCATCTATGATATGAATAATTAATAACGGCTTAAAAATGATTTGAATTTTGTGATTTCTTTATTTGTTTAACAGAATAGGGATTTGTAGAGATTGTAGTATTTCAAAAGTTTATTTCATGAACCTATCTATGCTAAACCATCATGAGAAATCTGGAAGTATTAGACAGCAGTTTCGTCATAGTATAAGACTCCTCAATAGTTCACATTCACAATTCCACACATAGGACTAGAATTCAGGATCATCGATCTTATCAGTGAACACTTTACAATGAGCCATCATTCAACAGTGTTAATGTATAACTTCAATAGATCCATCATCCTGTTCAACATTTCATCCATTATGCGAGGTGGATAACTAACTCCTACTCGACATGGATTGGTCTCCATTGGTTACGCCTTCTCACTACAACTGTAGGAAATCCATCTCGAAGCTAATCACTAGTGAGCACATGATGATTATTATCAGAATGAGGATTTATGGAGGTTGTAGCAATTTCAAGGTTCAATTCACTAGTCAAATTTTCAATATTGATCTAGTTTAGATTACCTCATGAATCGAATTGAAGTTTATTTCATTTCCATCATTTGGTAATGTTATCTTATATTAGAATAAAGTAAACAGAATTTCATTTAAACTATCCCAATGATATAAATCTAAAAGAAAAAGAACAACATGTCAGCCATATTACACACCATAAGTGTCCATTTATTACCAGATAGATTAAAATTAATGTTAAAATCAATCTCTTCAATTGACAGATATTTCCCATTTAAACATTAATAACACGAAGTTCAGTGAAGGGATCTTTTTTTCAACCAATTTATTATCAAACTGTACAATCGTATATATATGAAAATGGTGATCCAAACCGCTTCATAGATAAGAATATGAAAAGAATTAGTTGTGACAAGGAATCTAGTTGTTCCGTTCCAAAGAAAAACCTTTATATAAGTTTGGAATTTAAAAGTGACGGAACATCTGACGTAATCAAAAATTCATTTAACGACAGCGAGTAATAGAATATTTATTGCAGCAAAACTCCGAAAAACATTCACTAGTAAGAACATGTTTTCTGTATCCATAACAGATAAGCTTCCTCCTTTGATCGTCTAGCAGTTCACCTGCTCTTGTAGAGTAAGATACATTGGCCGTAGCCAGCGCTCATTTTCAATTCAAATACGGGAACATACCCCAGTGTGGTTCTACAAGGGTAAGAGGAAAGCAATTAGGTATTCCATACTTGAACATCGTATTACGTAATCTAGTATTATAATCTTTCTATTACATCATCTTTGTTATTTCTTGTTCACATCATCTCACGGAACTAGTACTTTAACAGTTGGTTAGGCACCTGGCGCGAGACTGATAGATTCTGGGTTCGAATCTCGTGGGGTGTGGGATCGTGAATGCGCACTGCTTAGGAGTCCCATACTAGGACGAAACGGCCGTCCAGTGCTTCCAGATTTTCCATGGTGGTCTAGCTTCAAATTCGTTGAAAAAGAGATCCCTTAGCTGAACTTAGTGTTTTTTAATGTTTCAAATCAATTTCAGTTGAACAAACTGTTGTATAGTTAAATCAAATCAAATTCCCTATAAGTTATAAAGTATTTCAAATGTGAATAGTTCCATTGCTATGATCAAATCATCAGTTGTTGTTTTTTTTATTTCTTTCACTCTCATTTTAAAACAGTTAAATTTTAATACATTATCATTATGTATATTAAATTAAGTCACTATTCAATAATTCACACTAGATTATTCTGGCTTCCTCACTGTACACACACACACATACACATAAGCTGGAATACAACGACGACAACAACAACAATCATAAAGTATACAAATACTACCTACATGGAGAGTCATCATCAATTCATGAATAATTAAAGTAACACAGAGTCAACATTCTAACAACAACGACAATAAAAGAAGAGAGAAAAAAACAACAACACAGAGACAGTGAAATGGTTTGACATGTGGAATGGGATGGGGAAATCTACAGCATTCTACCTACCAATTGTAATGGAATATTCTTTTATTTAAAACAAACAAACAAACAATGATAAGTAAGATTTATCTATTTTGTTATTCATCAGTAGTATAAATGAAAGTAATGAGAAAACATTAATTATTGAATTGATTGAAAAACCAATTTTAAAGAATCTATCACATGTTATGAATATTTATCTAAGTGATAACATTCATTAAATTCTAATATAGTTAAATAGTTTATGCATTATTTCATTAGGACTTAACCTCTCCTTCTGAGAATGTGTCGTAACAAGGTCTTGGGTTCGAATCCCTTGAGTGGGATCGTGAGTGCCTACTACTGAAGAGTCCCATACTAGGACGAAACGTCTGTTCAATGCTTCTAAGTTTTTCACTGGTGATCCCAGATTAATCGATTCATGATCTCAATCAAAAGCTGAACGATCTTTATGACCCCATACTGATAAAAAAAAGATTCATGCCATTGAATGGAGAAATGATCAGCTCTGACACATATGACATTTCAGATATTAACATTGTGATCATGACTTAATATTTCAAACTCTTTGTTTATTGAATTCTGTTGAAAACAGATGAACTATGGAAGAAACTATTTTTCGAAAGTTAGTTATTGTAAACAGTAAACAAAGGGTATGTAGACGTTTACAAGTGAAATTAATTTTCTAAATACCTCAAGAAAATTTGACATTTTCTATATTGTATTTCTCTAGCTGTTATCAATAGTTCAAGAATGGACTGGATAAGTTTACTAGTTGAAATCATGAATCATTTGAAGTTAGATCACCATGGAAAATCTGGAAGCACTGGACGGCCGTTTCGCCCTAGTATGGGACTCCTCAGCAGTGCGCATCCACGATCCCGCACCCCGCGAGATTCGAACCCAGGACCTATCAGTCTCGCGCTAGGCGCTTAACCAACTAGACCACTGAGTCAGCATCCAATACTGTTAATTTCTAACTTCAACCAGTTCATGAAGGTGTACCACCGTACACGATTGTCTTCAGTGAGTTGATATCTCACAACAGACCTGGTTCAACTCCACTGGTAACGACTTCTTACTAGAACTCCAGGAATGTCTCCTGAAATCAGTCACTAGTGAGCAGGTGATTATTATTTTCAGAATGGTTTTTGTTGAGAGTTTTAGAAATTTCACTGGTTAGACATGAAAATGATTTACCGGCCATTTGTTACAAAGAATATACAGTTGGTTTTTTAATAAGTGAGCGTACTCTAAATATCGATTGATAATAGTTCATG